TTCTTTTCTTTTAATTAATTAATTAATTAATTAATTTGAGATGGAATCTCGCTTTGTCGCCCAGGCTGGAGTGCAGTGGTGCAATCTCGGCTCACTGCAACCTCTGCCTCCCAGGTTGAAGTGATTCCACCTGGCCTCTTCCCCAAATCTCAGGTCAATCCTGCTACTCCTCTGCTCTAAATGCCCCTGTGGGCACAGCTCCTCCAAATGCCAGCTTGGTCCCCAGCTTGATCTACAGGGCCCTCCTGAGTCTGGTGCCTGCCTTTCCACTATCCGGCCTTTCTGGCTGTCCCCAGGTGTCCTGTTCAGTCCGCCTGTGCATTTTCAGCTATCCCCTGCCTTGCAAAGCGCTCCTGCTAAGTCGAATCTATTCAGCTCCTTGTAAACTTTATCTCCTCCAAGAAGGCTGGTCTGCACACATCTGAAGGTCACAGCACGAGGTGTGGGAAGCACTGACTGGCCCCTGCCATGCCTGCAAAGTACCTATTAAGTCCGAGACAGTCCCTCTCTGGATGGAAACTCCCCAGCGGCATCAACAGCAGCAGCAGCGCCACCACTTACCAGCATCAGCGGGTGTGGGCATGCCCATGCCACCAAGCCGGGTCATTCTCCCCTTAACCTTCTGAGTAGTCAGGGAGTCTTGGGGCCATTTCATAAGGAAACCACACACCAATTTACCTGCCCAGGCCCAGGCCCAATCAGTTGGTAATGACAGGGATGGGGCCAGGTTTCTAAGACCCCGTTGGCCTCCCTGCCTCTGCCTCTGTCTCTGTTGGCTCCATTTAACGTTTTGTTTTCTGCCACATTAATCTTCCCTAAGCTCCATCTCAGTTCCCCTGCAGGCCTAGAACGGTTCTCTCTTTTCCTTTCTTTCTATCCAAACTTCCCCTCTTCAGCTCCAGAACTCTTTCAGGGAGTCTTCCAGGTGACACTTGGGTCCCCAGTGAGCACTTGGGTTCCCCTGAGCCCCTATGGTGACTGGCACCCAGGACTCCATTTTATTAACAGCCATTATGTATTGAGGGCATATTAGGCACCAGAATGTTTTTATATATCGTTAGTCTTCTCAATAAGCCAGTGATGTAGAGATGATTACCCCACCCCATTCTACAGATGAGAACTCTGAGGCCCAGAGACTTCCGGTCCTTCCCAAGGCCACAGAGCTGGCGAGCAGCAGAGGCAGGACTCGAACCCTTATGTTTACTCCCTCATGGCACATGACACTTGGCTGCTCTCCATCTGTTTCCCAGCCAGAGAAGCAGCTGCCAGAGAACAGAGACCCACCTTGTGCTTCTCTGGTGACCACCCACCCCCATCCCCTGCACCTGGCCCACTCCTGGAGCCCAACCACGGTGGCCTGGTGTAGACAGGCCTGCATTCCAGGTCCCAGAGCAGGAGGGGCCCTGGCGGGAGGGCCAGGGCCAGAAGCCCAGAGTGCCGGCTTGGGTGCCCAGCCCGCTGCTGCACTGTCCCTGTTAATTCAGCCAGTCTTCTGAAGTTGCCAGCCCCCACACCCTGTCCCTGGCCCCTCCTGGCTAGGACAGAGGGCCTTTCAGCCTGGGCTGCCACCATGACCACCTTCTTGGGAGGGGCTGTTTTTCTAAACTTTTGATCCTGAAGCAGATGCAGACTGCCGGCCAGTGAGGTGTTGGGGGTTCTGTGTGGTGGGAGTCCCTCCCCGGGGGTCCATGACTGGTCACCTAGAGATGACTGCAGAGGAAGGGCCCTCTGGTGTCAGCATGTCGGGTAGCAGCATGTGGGTGTTTGTGTGAAGGTGTGTGCTGTGCGCGAGGGGTGTCATTTCTAACTCCCCACCGCAGACAAGGACATCTTTGTCTGTACTGTTCTGCCTCCCCATCCCATCAGAAGGGCCCCTGTCTGATTATTTTTATAGGGTATTTCAGACTTCTTTCTCTGCTTCACTCTGTCCTTCAGCAACTGTTCCAAGATCAATTTACCTTATTCTGCTTAGAGAAGAATGGCAGTTGGGGATCTCAGAAGCCAGGGCCTCATTCTCAACTCTGAGGTGCTCGGAGACTCCAAAGAAGCAGGGAGGTGGCGAACACTAAGGTAAATCGTGTCGCTGCTGGCCGGGCGCGGTGGCTCACGCCTGCAATCCCAGCACTTTGGGAGGCCAAGGCAGGCGGATCACAAGGTCAGTTCAAGACCAGCCTGGCCAATATGGTGAAATCCCGTCTCCACTGAAAATACAAAATTAATTGGGCATGGTGGCACACGCCTGTAGTCCCAGCTACTCGGGAGGCTGAGGCAGAAGGATTGCTTGAACTCAAGAGGTGGAGGTTACAGTGAGCCGGGATCACACCGTTTGTACTCCAGCCTGGGCTATGAGTGAGACTCCGTCTCAAAAACAAAAACAAAAACAAAAACAAACCTGTGTCACTAGAAAGCAGGGGTAAGCTACAGGGCCTCCCTCTTCTCTTTCCACACCATCAGCCACAGATTCCTCCTCCTTCTTCTTTTTAGCCTGGTTTGCTCATCTGCAAAGAGTCTTTATTCTTAATGTTTTGTCTGTTCATCTCTTTGACTCTGCCTCAGTTTCTTCATCTGTAAGATGGGGATAATAAGAGTATCTAACTCAGAGTTGTTGAGGGGATGAAATGAAATACAAGGCTTCTAGGACAGTGCCTGGCACCTGATGAGGGCTCACTAAATGTTAATAGTTATTACTATTAAAAACAGGTACTGAGCCCTCCGCTGTGCAGCAGTTGCCGTTCTCATGGAGGTTGTGCTGTGCCCCCAGACAGATTAAGTTGGTCCGGAGGAGGAGCCGGTCCGCGTTATTTAAAGCGCCCTCTGCTGGCCATTAGCAAGAAGGCCCTGGACATGGTGGAGAAGCGAAGTGCTCCGCGCAAGGGGAAGGAGGACTTCTGCGGGATGCAGAGCCCAGAGTGCTACTCATCCCATCCCAAAAATGTGCCGTTTGGAGTATTCCTCTTTACCAGCCTGAAAACAGGTTCCAAAGACGGCTTCCCCAACGGGCTCAGCAATGCTAAGACCAGGACAAGCTGCCAGCTGCAGCTAACAGCCTGCTTCCTGGCTGTTAACAGTAGGAAGGAGAGAAGCTACATACCCAGCATCCAGGGCTTCCTCACCACAAGGCGTGATGGGGGTAGGGGGTGGAGGCATTGGTTCTTACTTCGAATAAGGTAATGACGGTGGTGGTGGTGGTGGTGGGGTGCCCCATGTAGGATGTCCGATCAGGAAGAGAATAAATTACTGACTCCATAAGCCCAATGAACCCAGAAGGTGGTGGTTCCCAACAGCTCGTTTCTTACATTGCAAGACCCTCTCCTGTACCAGTGTGCAAGACAGATCGTCACCCGACCTGCAGATGCACTGGCCAGACCTTCATTATATCCCTGTGAGAGGAGTAAGAGGACTCCACTGGAAGCAGGAGAAACTAAAGTTAGACTTCGGGAAGAACGGTCCTGAGAATAAGGCGAAGTGTAGTCTTGTCCCTTCAGAGTCTGGCACAGGAAGAATGCCCCCGGGGCTGGTCCACAGAACTGACCCTCTTCTTCAAGGGGGTAGAGCAAGGGGGCTGGGAGTCTGGCAGCCAACACCTAAGGATTCTCTGGAGCGTTTCTGGTAGGTCCCGGCTGGGAGGGGAAGAAGGGAAAGGGGAAGCGGCTGCAGCAAAATCATGGGTCATTGTTTTATTGCATTATAGAGAATGCTGCAGTCCACAGATTACATGCAGCTAGGGCCATCATACAAGACCCTGGCAGCCTCCATGGAGGGTTGGGGCAGACTACAATACGCATCAATGCTACTTTAAACAGTGTCTGGCGGGAGGGGGTGGGGGACTCTGAGACCAAGCTGAGCTCCCCAGCCCCTCTCGAAGTATCACGGACAGGGAATTCACCCCAGGCTCTAGACAGAGTCCACAGGATTAGAGCTGTGGTGGAGTAGGCCTGTGGAGTGAAGGTGAGACAGAGAGAAAGCGGGGCGAGTGTGCGACAGAAATCGATGGAGGAAAAGGACAAAAGACAGGCCTGAGAGTAGGGAGAGATCCGCAAAGATTCAACCTCCAGGTCCTTCTCCGACGTGTGGCTGGAGAGTCCCAGCAGTTTGGTGATTTGTAGGAAGGGTGACTGATTCCTGTTCAGCTTTCTCAACATTCCTGTTCCCCTAATACACTTTCCTGGGCCCTGTCCCTCGGGACAGGCCTGGGGCTCCTTTCCACCCTCAAGGAGGGAGTATCCAGAAGGTGTTGTAAGACCAATGAGCCGGCTGAGGCCCTGGGGATGTGCACAGGGGTTTGAGGCGGCGGGAGGGGCTCTGTGTTGAGGAGGGGCGGCAGGTGGGGAACCAGGACCTAATATGGGTGGAGAGGCACGCAGGCTGGTGTGCGGGGCTGGGGGAGGTGGCAGGGCCCATCTTTGGCTTAATAGCTTGGCCCTCGGCCTCTTTCCTTGCTGCCTAGCCAGGGTCCCCTTTGTACAGGTTGGATGATCGAGTTTCTGCCATGAGCCCACTCTGTGACGACCGTGGTCACTGCACAGTGGGCCACGTGGGTGTGCATGCATTCACTAATGGTCCTACTGCTTCGGGATGCCACTGCCACACCTACGCACGACTACACTCACACATACACACACCTAGCCAGGCAGCCCCCTGGAAGATGCGGACAATGAGCCTACAAGGACGCCTGGGCATGGGGGTGGATATCTCCAGAGCTGATGGCCCAGGTACGGGAGCCCTGCGACAGGGGCCCTCTCCATCCCCGAAGATCAGCTGCCTTGCTCCAGCACTCTGGCAGGAACTTGGATTTCAAACTAGGAAAGAACTGGGGCACGGGACTGGCACTCTGGAAGAAAACAGGAAAACGACACACAGCCCTGCTTAAGTGTGGAACAGACAGGAGGCGCAGGGGAATGGAGGCGGGTGGGCCCTGTCCGCACAGCAAGGGCGCATGCCCAGCACCCAGCATGGTTGCTCATTCCATCCATTCACAGAAACCACCCCCACGGCGGCCCTCACGTGGCCGCTGCTCTCCTGAGGCTCCCCGAGCAGAGCGATCTTTCAGTTTTAATGCTCCTCCCCTCACACCCTGGCGACACACACGGGGCCACGTGAATAGAGGACGTTTAATATTTCTGTGCTGGTCAAACGGAACACAGGTGGGGAATACACAGGCAGGGGGCGGAGGGCCCCCTGCCTCTCAGGAGGGGTGGCTTGGGAGGGGTGCATGTGAGGGGTTCTTGGGAAATATCCAAGGAGTCTTCTCAGCGAAGGGGCCAGGCCAGGGGTGTTATGAGCATCCAACACACCCAGTCCTTGGCCTTGAGTTGGGGTCCCCCATAGGGGGTCTGTGGAGAGTCTCACTTTTTTTCCAGCTCTTTTGCCGGAATCCACACTCCCAGCACGACGGGTGACTTGGTCCTAGAGAGGGGTCTGGAGAACCCCCAGGAAGCAGCCCAGGGGCAGGGAGGAGGGCTCCTGTGCCCACTCCCGAGGGGGTGAGAGCCCACCTCCTCCCCTCCTCCTCCTTCTCCCAGGCTGGGCAGGAGTAGAGGGGAGGGGAGCAGGGCCCCAGCCTCCACTGAGCCCCAGGGTCCTCGGGGTGGGCGGAGGAGGGGTGGAGGGAGAGGGTCTTGGCCACCAACAGACACTGTAAACTTTGGTTTAAAACAATAACTTAAGTGGAGGGAGGGCTTCCAGCCTGGGGCCAGGGCGGGAGACTGGGAGAGCAGGTGCTGGGGAGGTGACAAAGGAAAAAGCCAACAAAAAGTTTTGGTTTTTGCTTCCGGCATAAGAAAGGTCTTTGGTCATCCGTTGAACTGGGGGGGGGGGGGGGGGACGCAGGGAAAGGGAGCCGAGGGAGGGTGAGGGAGAATGCAGAGGAAGGGGAGCTGAGGGAGGGCGGGAGGACTGCAGAGGGGCCTGCAGGCTGGATGTGGGTGTGGAGCTGGGGTCCAGCCTAGCCTTTCCCTGGGCTCCCGATGGCCCAGGCCCCGCCTGTGGCCTCAGGGGGAGCTTGGCTCCACCTGCAGAAGCACACCAGGAAGATCTGCGTGGGTGAGACGGGCACTGGGCCTCTTCCTACGGGACGGCTGGAGGAGCCCCCAGCAAATGAGGGTGGGGGTCGGGGCAGAGGCCTGGCTCAGCCTGGTTCTGTCTCAGGTTGGGGGCAGGGCTGGAGCCAGGTGGGCCAGCTTGCACAGACCCCCACAGGGCACACAACGGTCCCACCCCAGCAGCGGAGGGGGCCGCTGCTTCTGGGATGGTCTGGAACTGCAGTTCCTCCACCCAGGCCAGGGCAGGTAGGAGCTGGGGGGGGCGAGTTCTTTCTTCACAGTACGGAAAAGAAGGTGGAAGGGAGAAGGAATCAGGTAAGCGGGGACCTCTGGCCAGAAAACGAGGCCAGAGCCAGGTGCCAGGGGGCCCTGGGTTTGAGAGGGGTGGCTAAGCCCCGCCTGCGGGTCTCCATGGCGCTGAGGGGCCCTGTGGGGAGAGCTGGTGGGGGAGGAGGGCCCTGATGCTGCTGGTGGTTGGGGGTAGGCGGTTTCAGATGCGGGGAGGGTCTGAGGAGGGGTCTGAACCCTCCGTGTCCTCTACTGGTCCCAGACCAGGGGTTGTATCCCTGGGGGTGGGGACCGCCCCTGCCCCTGTGTGTTTTTGTCAGGTCACACTGGGAGCTGCTGGCCCGGGCCTTCCCCGTTGTTCTGAGTCCTGGACGTGCCTTGAGGCTCGGGAGGGGCTGTGGAGTGGGGGGAGGTGGGGCCTGGATTCTGGGAGGGAGGGTCTCACCCCAGCCCCTCGGGTCCCTATACGCCCTTAGGCCCTTAGGACAGTTCTTCTCCCGGCAGCTCCTCGTCCAGGTCCCTGTCTTCCGGAGGCCCTGAGGCGCTGGGGTTAGGGGCGCCCAGGGAAGGCCCGGGCTGCCTGTCTTCCTCTGCCTCTGCTGGCTCCTCCTTCACCTGCACCTGGTGGCTGAGGCAAAAGTATGGCATGGACACTTGGGGGCTGTCCTCTGATCCCCTCGGCCCCCTGCCCCCCAAACTCACCTAGAAATCTGGGGACAGTGGGGTGCCTACAGCCCCCTCCCCAGGATCCCATCAGCACTGAGGCTTCAAAGAAAAGTCAGTGCTGGGGCAGACTGCTCCGGGTTGGGGAGGAGAAAAATAGGGGGGCAAAGGGGAGATGAGCAAATGGAGGAAGGAGAAGAGAAGAGGAGCCGGGTGTGACAGTTCACACCTGTAATCCCAGCACTTTGCAAGGCTGAGGCCAGTGGATCACCTGAGGTCAGGAGTTCGAGACCAGCCTGGCCAACATGGTGAAACCCTATCTCTGCCCAAAATACAAACTCAGCCGGGTGTGGTGGCACCTGTAATCCCAGGTACGGGGTTGGGGGGCACTGAAGCAGGAGAATTGTTTGAACCTAGGAGGCAGAGGTTGCAGTGAGCCAAGATCTCACCATTGCACTTCAGCCTGGGTGACAGAGCAAGACTGTCTTAAAAAGAGAGAGAGAGAGAGAGAGAGAGAGAGAGAGAGAGAGAGAGAAAGAAAGAAAGAGAGAGAGGAGGAGGAGGAAAAGTAAAAAGGAAGGGGGGAAAAGGGGAGGAAGAGGTGGGGAGAGAGGAGAGGAGAAGAAGAACAGGCAGGTGGGAGAAGGGAGGGCTGAGAGGGCTGCTGAGGTGAAGGGAGAGGCCACTTGTCCTGGGGAAAGGCATGGTGGGGGTGGGATGGGGAACCCCACCCAGAGGTGGAATGAGGCCTCCTCCCTGGTGCTTGAGGGGCGCTGGGGTGGGTGGGAGTCTGTGCTGTGTGCTCACCTGTACTGGGGTGGGGAGAGGCGAGGGGGGCTGCTGCTGCCATTGCTGGACAGAGGCTCCAGGGGTGCGCCCACGTCATCGTGGCTGAGGGGCAGGAGGCTGCTGGCGGAGCCAGGGTTCAGCATGCCAGGGCTGTTGAGGAGGGGGAAGCTGCTCTCGGCCAGGGCGGCCTGGAGGGCACAGGGTCGGGGCCCGTCAGAGGCTCCACAGGATGGGGCATACCCAGTCAAGTCTGTGCCCTTCCCACCCGCTAGAGAGCCCCCTGAGTGTCTGTCTGCTGGCCCCATGGGCAGATCTGTCTGGGCACTCCTAAGTCCCAACTCAGCCTTCGAATGAAGCACCCCTCCCATGGCTGGAACTCTGACCCCCACCTCCTACCTCCCAGCTTTCCTGGAACCTGGGCCTGGCTTATCCCCTCTCTCAAGGGACAGAGAACACCCAGACTGACAAACCGGAAAAGGGGATGCTACAGGTATGCCAGCCTCCCGGCTCTCTGCCGGCCTTGTCTGAACCCAGCCCTGAAAGCAGAGGTGGAAGCTGGCCCCGCGTTGGGGTGAGGCAGAGAGGTGGGGTCTTGGGGAGTTTGGGTCTTCACCCGCCTTCCCTCCTCTGGTGAGTCCTCTGCAGGGGAGGACGGGAGTCTCTTGCATGAGAAAGCGAGGGGGTGGGAGGTAGGGGTGAGTGGGTGGGCTCTGGGCCGGTCACCTGGTAGCTGGCATTAAGTGCTCCATAGCTGAGGCCCGAGATCATGTTCTTCACCAGGGTGGGGCTCCTGGAGGACAGAGAAGGCCGTCTTTGGCTCACTCATTCTCTTAACTCTTTATTTGCATCCTTTACCCCCACTAAGTAAGGGCCTGTGCTGGGGCAGGGACTGGCACATTCCTTATCTCCGGAGGCCCCAGCAGACTGGCCACCGTCTCAGAGCCGTGGGTGTGCTTGGTCTGATTCGGTCCTCACACCGACCTGGCCCTGCAGGAGCAGCCCCTTCACAGCTGGGCGCAGGGAACTTGGTTCGGGGACCTCCAGGTCTCAGAGCTGGGAAGTAGGACCTGGCATCCATCCCAGCCATGTCTGCCTTCACAGCACGCCGCCCTCCACCACCCCCATTTCCTCTCTCCGGTCTAGATTTTCCAATGTTTGGCAAGATCCAATCTACAGCCTCGATAGTTCCGCATCTGCTCTGCCCACACCGTCTTGCCGTCCTGGGAGCTGGGACATGCCAGACATGCACTCTGTCTGTCCCCACTCACTCCATACAAAAGGCTTCTCTGCACTGGAAGGTGTTTGGGAGTTGGGACAGGAAAAGCAGTGGCTCTTCTCTGCACTGGAAGGTGTTTGGGAGTTGGGACAGGAAAAGCTGTCCCTCTTCCACAGTGATGACACCATCAGAGAGCTCCCACAGAGCTTAAGGAAATGGCCAAGGGTCACCAAACTGGTGCGAGTGCAGCCAGGCTTCTGATGCAATGCGGTAATGAGATGTGCCAGTACCCGGCGGCTGGGGACTGGCCCCTGGGGCATTCACCTGGGGATGGCTTCCCTCCATCTTCCAGGCTCCCACACTGCCTGGGGTGCAGAGGCTCCTGCCTGGAGAGCAGGCATCTTTGAGGGGAGCACCCATACCCCAGAGACATCCATCTAACTTGCTCTCCTCTCCTTACCCAGGGGCTCTGGCCCAAGGGGCACAGCAGGTGGGTGGCTGGGGTGGGGGTGTTTGGGGTGGGGAGAAGGCCACGGCTGCTACGTGGAAGCCAAAAGGGATTCTGACCCTGCTTCCATTTAAACTGTCAGGTGGAGGCTGGGCGCGGTGGCTCATGCCTGTAATCCCAGCACTCTGAGAGGCCAATGCAGGTGGATCACCTGAGGTCAGGAGTTCAAGATCAGCCTGGTCAACATGGTGAAACCCCGTCTCTACCAAAAATTAGCTGGCCGTGGCGGTGCGTACCTGTAGTTCCAGCTTCTCAGGAGGCTGCGGCAGGAGAATCGCTTGAAGCCATGAGGTGGAGGCTGCAGTGAGCCAGGATCATACCACTGCACTCCAGCCTCAGAAACAGAGCAGGACTCCCTCTCAAAAAAAATAATAGGCCAGGCATGGTGGCGCACACCTGTAATCCCAACATTTTGGGAGGCCAAGGCAGGTGGATCATCTGAGGTCAGGAGTTCGAGACCAGCCTGACTAGCATGGTGAAACGTCGTCTCTACCAAATACAAAAAAAATTAGCCAGGCATGGTGGCAGGCACCTGTAATCCCAGCTACTTGAGAAGCTGAGGCAGGAGAATTGCTTAAACCCAGGAAGTGAAGGTTGCAGTAAGCCTAGATCATGCCACTGCACTTCAGCCTGGGCAACAAGAGCGAAACTCCATCTCAAAAGAAAACAAATCAAATTAAAAATAAATAAATAAAATGCCAGGTGGAAAAGCCGAGCACAAAAGACCAGGAGGTCAGAGACCTGGTCCTGAAACCAGCTCTGCCACAAATCTGCTCTGGGGCCTCCTGCCAGCCCCTGGCCCTCCCTGGCCCCCCTCTGCCGTAAGATAAATTGGTGGGGTCTCTGGGACCTCAGAGGTATATTCATTCTGATGAGCTGAGGAAGCAAGTACCCTGGGGGTGGCAGCCCCTCACCCAGGGCCCACTGGCCGGCATCTGCCTGTGTGCCAGCTCTGGCCTGGGCTACTTGGGGCCTCTGTCTCTAGTAGCTACCAGGCCTCCTGCTTGACCCCTTCCCTCAGCCATAGTGAGGCCAGAACAACAGAAGTGTCTGCTTTCTGATGATCCATCACTTCCAGATTTCCAGCCACCCCCCACCACCGCCCCGAGCACTAATCACCTCCGCTCCTTTCTCCCCACACCCCTTCCCCCAGCCAGGAAGGATCTGGTGCACATGGGCACCCTGGAGAGGCAGGGGGTTGGTTGGGGTGAGCTGGCTCCTGCCCCCCGCCACCCCCCCGGCAGGTACACCCCACCCAGCTCTGGAGCCACATACCCTGTCATCTTTGGCGGTCTCCGCTTCTGATATTCCCGCTCGTCCACAGTCCACACCGCGCCCTTGACGTTCTCCACACGGACGAAGCACTTGTGCAGGCTGAGGTTGTGGCGCACAGCGTTCTGTGGGTAAGGGGAGGAGGAGCTCAGAAGCGGCTTGCTTGGCCGAGCGCACACAGGACAGTCCTCCACCAGTCCCAAGTCCCAGGCAGCAGCAGCCCTCCTTCCCCAGCTCAGGGATGAGCAGGGCGGGGGGTGGGCTGGGAGGAGACCCGGCCAAAGGGAAGGCAGGCCGCTACCCTTTCCACAGAGCCAGGGGCTCCCAGCCTCTTCACCGCAAATGACCCATTTTATTAGCTGCCTTCTCTTTCCCTGCCACATGGTGGAAAGTTCTGTCTACCAACTAAATGCTATCTAGTTAGTAATAATCTATTCTATCATCTTCATTAATCAAAGACACACATAACTGTTATTCAGGACTTTGGATCAGCAGCTGATCACATTCAGGCCCCGGGATCTCTGCAAGCCCAGGATGCTTTATCTCTGGCGCATGCAGAATTTTCACTAAGCTTTTAAAAGTTTGGGAAAGAGCTCACGAACCCTCGCTGCCTTGTCTACTGACCCACAGGAGTCTGGGCACCGTGCTTTGAGCTGTGGCTCAGAACAGGCAGCTTGGGTTTTGAGAGCAGGAGGTATACAGTAGAGGCCTCATACATACTTGTTGAAATAAATAGGGAGAGAGGAGAGTGTGGGTTGACAGCTGAGAGGCAGAAAGAGGAGAGAAAGAGGTAAGTCACCTTGTCCGTCCCACCTCCTCCTGGCAGGATAACTTCAAGAATTGAGGTCATCTGATTTGTAGGACACCTGGGTGATCTGGGGGGTGCCTGGCCCAATTCCCCACCTCGCCGCCTTGGGAGCCCAGACTACGGCCCTAGTCCACCCCCATGCGTCGTGTCCCTCAGTCCTGCCCCGCCCCCTCCTCTCGAAGCTCCCAGTCATCACCGCCCCTGCCTGCATCCCTGCCCCTGTTACCTGTCCTTCCTCAGCCTCCCCCGCCTCGTCCCCATCCTTGTCTCCTCTTTACATTTCTAAACGGGGAAGAAAGCGGGCAGGGCAGGCAGCCTGTGCCCCTGGAGATCCCCTCTCCCTCTCTCCCTTCCAACTCTTGCCACTTGCAACTGGCCCGATTTCATTACCAATTTTAATTTGCCTCTAATTAAATCCTGTGTATTTTTCCGACTCGCTTGCTAATCCACGAGGGAGGCGGGCGGCTGGAGTGGAATCTCTTGGAGCGATAATTACAAAGGGCCTAATCACGCCGGGGCTCCTGCCTCGGAATAAATTTGCCCGCATTACGGGGCTCCAATCCTCCGCTTTGCAAATGAGAATGACCCCAATTTCCGAGGATGGCCTCACCGGGGCTTTTTTCACTCATTTCGAAGCCTGATTCGTGATGAGAGACTAATTCGTTACGCTGAAACATTAACGGCAATTTAAGGGGTCTGGCGGGGGCTGCGTAAACAAAAGGACGGGCCCACAACACGGGCCTTGGGAGTGGATGGGCACGGGGAGGGCCAGCAAGGACCATCAGCTTGGCAGATGGCAGCTCTGTCCCTGGATGAACAGCAGCTGGCTGGGCCCACACTATGCCCACTCCCAACCCTTCTGCCCTGGTCTGAGGTGGAAAGTATCTCAAGGTGGGAGGCAGCAAAGGTGAAGAAGGAAAAGAAGGAAGCACACGTAATTCGGGAGAGGAGCAGAGATGACCTGAAGGACTGATCAGCGGAAGGCAGAAGTGGAAAGGAAGCAGAGTTGAGTGTAGACAGGACATATTTCCCAAGTAACAGGAATGAATTTGCCTGAAAAGAAACCAGAAGGTCAAAGTGGACCTCAAGCTGGATAGAGTCTGCCGCGCCATGAGGAAGGCTCAGGCAGTGACCTCAGGCAGCAGATGCAGCAGCAGAGCACTGCTAACTGGGAAAGTCCCCTACTTAGTCGCTCAATTTCCCCAGCCCAGACAGCTTCTTACCCGGCCCTAGACTAGGTGAGGGGAGATGGGAGTGAAGAACTAGGAGGGAGACACACACCACAGAGATGTCAAAGGCTGGGCTATGCGCCGGCAGGGTTAGAATATCAATATCAGGGGGTGGCTTCAGCATGGTCACCGACTGGCTTAAGGAAGTCACCTAATCCAGCTCCTCCTGACCTCAAAAGTAGAGAGAATTAGAAAATTGCAGCAGGGTGGAGCAGGTAAGAAAGAAGGAAGGAAGGAAGGTAGGTGGCTTAGCAGTACTTTGCCCCCAGAGAGGAGGCTCTCTGATGGAAAGGAGGCTCTATATTGCTACCCCTAAAGGCAAAGAATTTATATGCATTATTAAACATTAAGCAATAATTATAATGATTCCTTACATTTGTATAGGATCCGATCGTTTATAAAAACCTGGCATCTGAACTAACTTGAAGGTTGGAGACTGGACCAGGTGGTCCCAAGCAAGCCCTGCTGGCTCAGAAAGAGGGCAGGACTGTGGTTGGCAAAAAATGACATCACTCACAACCAATCAGAGCCGCTGTCCCAGCCTCCCAGCTTCTCTCCCAAGGTTTGGGAATTGCGCATGGGGATATAAAAGTCATGATTCAGTCCCTCCTGCTGCACTTAGCACAATCCCAGAGCAAAGGCAGGCAGGCACTGTGCAGACCCCACCAAGTCCTGGGCGCTGGTGGGGAGGAGGGGTTCAGTAACACTTGTTGAAACCTAGTGGGATTGGGGGAGGTAGCCCATTTAACTGCAGTTTCTACACTGGCCAGCAGGGGGACTCAAGAGCCAGGGATGCAATTAAGGTTCTGAGATAGGGACTCCTTCCCCGTGTCTAACCTTCCCTGCAGGGGCCAATGCTCTCTCCTCCTTCCCACATCCCTCTACCAATTTAGATATCGCTTTCTGACCTTGCTGCAAATGCGCATGCACACATGCCCCCATCGCGCGCGTGTGCACACACACACACGCCCCCATCTTGACTATAGAAAAATAAATGGCCTAGTGCCCCAGCATCTCTGTGTCCCATTTTTCTAGGTTTCCCCTCTTGCCTGCTTCTGGTCTCCCAGGAAAACTTATGGCTGAAGGTGCTGAAATGACTAATTGGATGGAAACAATTATCTTCCTGCCAGGGATGGCAGAGCCGGGGAGGGCTGTGAGTGCCGTCAGTGCCCCAGTGTGTGGTCCACAGCTCTTGGTCCATCCGTGTGTGTGTGTGTGTCTACACCAGTACCTCCCCAGGCCCACCGCAGGCTTCAGAACATGCATCTTAAGCTAAAGTATCCAGACCCTTAGGGTCTCTGTGAATTCAGCCAAGGCTGAATGTACCAAGCTTGGGCATTACCAACTCCTAGAAGCCCTACTTCACGGGGCTGGCACCTTTGGGGCCCTTCACCCTAGAGAAGAGGACCGCTTCCCAGAAAAGGAGGTAGCACCAGGCTGGAAGGAAGGGATCATAAAAAGACAGTTCTGGAACAACCCACAGCTCCTGCTGAGGGGGGTGTGTGTGGGCATGCAGCCCTGGCTGGACTCTGGGGCGGCTGTTCCTACAGAACTAATGGTTTAGGGAACTAACTGTTAGGCAGCCTTGGTCTCCATGGGATATGGAAGGTCCAAGGGTGACTGGGGCCCAGAAGATGAAAGGGGCCTGCCTCACCTTCCAGGTGGCAGTGTTTCTGCGGAAATAGGCGAACATCCTGGTGAACCAGTTATAGATCTCATTCAGGGTCAGCTGCCTGTCGGGGGTTTCCAGGATGGCCTGCAAGCAAGAAACAAGCAAAGGGACCATCAGCCTGGGCCTTGAAGGGTCACAGCCCGCTGCCAGTATCTCTCCCTTCTGCCTGGCCCTGAGCTCACCTCGTGCGAAGACTTGCTCAGAAATGTGGGTAAGAAGATGGGTGGTGGCTGGTGAGTCCCCTGAGAGGGACAGGCTGGTTACAGCCTGGCCAAAGATAAAGGAGGCAGGAGCCTCCAAGGTCTATGTATTTGTACAAAGAGGATTGGAGCTGCTTCTGGAGAAGTACCCGGACTGCACCGACAGTGACAGCAGTCAGTCTTGTCTTTCTCGTCAGAGATGTCCACAGCGTGGAGGCTGGTTGAAGTCTATCCTGATTTTGGCAAAAGGCACCCTAAGCACAGTGTGTGTGTGTGTGTGTGTGTGTGTGTGTGTGTGTGTGTGTGTATACGTGTGTGTGAGAGAGAGAATGTGTGCAAGGGTGTGCACGCCTGTGTGGGGCATTAGGGAGGATGTATGTACGTGTCCATGTATGTTCACACTTGAGTGTGAATATTACATGAACACTGGTGACATGAAGATCGTGGGCTCAAGGGAGGAAAGAGGAAGGAGGCAGACGAAGAGCGACCCTGAGTCTATCATGGGGGGATGTGTACATGGAAATGAGAGCATGAATGCCACGGCGGGGGTCAGCAGGAAGAGCAGAGTGTGCACCCTCAGAGACACATGACCCTACGAAGCAGGCTGACAGGGCTCAGCCCACAGGAGAGACTGTACAGCAGAGAGGGAGGACACTGGTGTGAGAGGGAGCCAGAAGGCTACGCTGGTTGGCCCCAGGCCGCTCCTGGAGACAGGGGTGTGGTGGGGGTTGGGGGAGGTGCCTTTGTGCCATTCCCAGCCCTGCTCACCTGGCGGATGAGGGAGGCGTAGGTGAAGGGGGGCCTGACGTCGGCGTTCTTGTAGAACTCATGATTCTGGGCCAGCTCTGGGGAGACAGGCAGAGGGTGAGGTAGCCAGACATGGGGCCCAGCTGGGAAAAACAGCCTCTCTCTGCAGCCGCTCTGCAGCCCCCAGCCCGCCCTTACCTGAGGAGATGGGGGAGCAGAACTTGTCGCTGCTTCTCCGACGGGCTGGGCCCCCACCATGCAGGGAGGCAGAGCCCAGGCCAGGGGGCCGTAGGGGGGTGACAGGGGCTGCGGCCGAGGTTGGGGGGTGCACAAGACCATCTGGGAACGAGTCTGCTGCAGAGACGGTCACCTTGGAGAATGAGGAGGAGCCGGGGACCGGGTTCAGCTGTGAGCAACGGGGAGGGTACTGAGACCAGTGCCCGAGGTGGGGGTCCCGAGGCTCCAGGGGCTGTGGAAGGCTCTGGGAGGCGTGGGGAGGGCAGCGGCACTCACCGGCTGGCTGAAGGGCTTGGGCTCCGGGGGCCGCATGTGCAGGTGGGCCATCATGGCCTGCAGCCGCTCGCTCTCCTTGGCGAGCTGTGGAGGGTGGCAAAGCAGGTGAGCAGGAGGCTGAACCCTGGAGGCAGTGACGTCCCATCCCTCCACTGCCAGGCCCTTCAGAAGGCTGCTGGTTCCCACCCCCATTTGCCTCCTGGCCTCAGCATCCTGGCTCCCTCTGTTCCCTGCTCCAGGGAGACCTCAGCAATGCTCTGCCCCTCAGGGGCTGCCAGCTCCAGGAAGCCTCTCCCTTTTTCCCCTGGACGGTGACCATTTAGGTCCTCCCAGAGTGTCCTGGCTGAGCTCATCCCTGCCTCTACACGTTGGGGAGCTTCTTCCTACCCCCGCCCCCCACAGAGGATGGCCACTGTGCCTCGTGCAGTGGCACTTGTGTGTGAGGGCCTCGAATACTGAATGCAGACGCAGGAATGGATGAATGGCTGACACCCCATTCATAAACTCAATGGGTCTTTCATGACCACCCTGTCATAGCAGGGCGCTCTGCTAGGTGCCGGATGGGGAGGGACGGGGTAAGCACGGAGGAGGTGCCCTGAGTCACCTCCTGGGAACTGTGTGCTACTGAGTGTCCCCTCCCAAGTAAATGGGAGACTCCCTTGGGAGAGCCAGGCTGCCTGGGTTCTAATCCCAGCTCTGCCGCTCACAGGCAAGTTACTTTAGCTCTGTGTGCCTATGTTCACCATCTGGTAAATGGGGAGAATAATGGTACCCACCACATAAGGTTGTTGAGAGGATTCCTTGAGCTATATAAAGTATTTAGTACAGCACAAAGTAAGTGCTCCATATGTTAGTAGTTAATATTATTTTTGATGTTGCTATGTAGCGTGAGTCTCTTCTGGACCTCCCAGCAGAGACGCCCCCAACCTTGGTTTACCCCTCAGAATCCAGCTGTCCTCACCTCACAACCATGGTCATTAGGACCTAGAAAGCATAAGATGGTGGCTTTGACCATAGGACCCTTCCATGAGACTCCCCCCGACAGAGCCCACCTAGCAAGTCAGTGCTGTGGGTGGGCAGGGGCTGGAGCCCGCCAGGTCCCTCCCCAGCATCCTCCGGGCCACACCTGGATCTCCAGCTGCTGCACCACCTGCATCTGTACCCGGCACTGCGCTGTGCTCCGGTCATCCAGGGCGTGCTCTGTGTTGAGGTGTCTTCAAGGGGAGGGGAGGAGGAGAGAAAGTTGGCTCGGGTTTCCCTGCTGCCACCATCCTCCCATCCTATCCTCTAACCCCACCCACAGCCTGAAAAGCAGACGGATCAAGAGATACAAAGAGAAAGAGGTGGGAAAACGGGGCAATGGAGGAAGGCTTCTCCCTTCTAGTCAGCCTCCTTTGATGTCTTTGCTAAAATCCCAGCTACAGAGAGATCTAATTGCAAATGAACTAATTAAGTAAACCTCTGACGAAGCGTGAAAACAATTTGTTTGACCCTGATGCTGCAAGGGTCTGAGAGACAGCAGAGTTAATCAGTCAGTGACAGAGCCTGGCACGGCTGTGGCAGCTGGCCGCCTGCTGCCAGCCGCCTGTCCGCCTCCCGCCCTGCCTGTCCTGGGCCCTCAGCCTGTCACTCGCCATCACTCCCCAGGGCTGAGGCTGGAAGGGAGCTGGGGAGGGTGGGAGGTGGAGATATGCTTATGTTTGTCCTCTCCTCCTTCTACCCCCACCTTGTGCTGGGGATGGGGTCGGGGGAATGCAGGGCTGGGAATATAGACAGGGTAGGGAGTGGGTGCTCAGCGAGTCTGTCAGGGGCAAAGAACTAGAACCCCCTGGAGTGAGGACAGTAGTACAGCTAGTGAGGAGGGCCCCCAGAAGGGGTAAGCTAGTGGGCAGGCTTGGAGGAGGGGCCCTATGGGGAAAGGCTAACGGGGGAGTGGCTGGGGGTGACACCTACTTGATAAACTGGCCCAGGTCTTCACACAGGGTCTCACAGCCTGGCCACTTGCACTCTCCGTGTCCATACAGGGGGTGGGAGCCGGGGGTCTCCTCGTGGGAAGAGCTGGGAGGACAGCAGGGAGGTGGCGATCAGGAACCTTGAAGACCCCAGTGGCCCTGTGCTCAGCTGAGCTCCAGCTCCCCTGCTGGTGACATTTCTGCCCCTAATACAGGTTTCCCAGAGGCCAAGCACCATCCGTATACCCCGGAGAGGGAGTGAACCTCCAGTCCCTAGGCTCCACCCCTCCCTCCCAGTCCCCATCACAGGGCCAGCCCTCCGGAGCAAGGTCTAGCCCCAGGCAGGGCTTTGGTGCCCCTCCCAGCCTGGGCCCCTGTACCTGTCTCTCCGAGATGTGAGCACAGTGGGCTGTCCGTTGGGCAGGGTATGGTGGGAGAGCGGGGGTGAGACCTTGGGGGGGGCGGCGAACGAGGTAGCAGTGGCGGCCGTGCCAGTGAGGTCCAGCCCCTCCTGCTTGACGCTGTCCTCAGCAGGCTGCCCGGGGGCACCCTCGCCCTTCCACAGCTGGGGCAGGTCTGTTGGGCAGACAGCTGCTGTGGGAGAGACAGGGGAGGCTGGCAGGGCCCCACGAACACTCGGCTTTCTACCTGGCCCCCGAGAGCAGGGGCTGCCAGCTCTCGGGTACAGGCAGGGCTGTGGGGTTGGGGCTGGGAGGGGAGGAGTGGTGGGCGCTCACCTTGCGGAAGGGTCTGGAGGGGCCCCGAGGCTTGGCTGGGCTGCAGGCTGACCAGCCCCTGCCTCTGCAGGTTGAGCAGGTGCTGCTGCTGCAACTGTTGCATTTGCAGGAGCTGCTGCTGGAAGGCCAGCTGCTTGTTCCCCAGCGCCTGGTGAGGGGCCCGAGGGGGCGGGCAGAGAGGGGTGCCATCAGCTTCAGGCATGCCATCTGGCCCCCACCCTGCGGCCACCCCCTCCCAGGGCCTGTCAGCCCCTGGAGTTGTCGTTGTGGCGTCTGCAGCTGCAGCGTCTCTGCTCCCGGCCCAGCTTCCATAAGGCTGCATGCCTCCTCGCAGTAAACACACGCATGCACGCAGGCACGCACGCGCGCAAACACACACAGCCAGACCCAGACACGCAGCACGACGCCCTCCCTCCTCCCGCCTCCCTCCTTCCGCTGCTTCAGCTCCCTGCACCGCAGCTGTGCACGCCTCGGGGGTGGGGGGGGCTCATCACAATGATCGATGAGCCTGTCAGATTCTGGGGGCCACTCCTGCCTGGAGGGCACCCTTCCCACATGCCCGGGGTGCCCCCCTTCTGCTCTGGGTAGGGAGTTTTCTCTCCCCCAGCTCTTTTCCTCTCTTGCTTTTTAGATACAGAGAATTAAGGAGTCTGAGCCGGACTCACTGGGACCCAGGCTCGTACAGCAGTCACATCACTACTGCCCAGGCGCCCTGGGCTCGCTGGCTCACCCGCTCTGCCTACCCCCACCCATTCATTCGGTTCTTCACACAGGCACTGACAAGTCAGGCTGGTAGCAAGTCTTTTCTGAGTCCCAGGAGCCAAGCATGTCCTGGGTGGGTTGAGAAGCAGGAACGTCTCTGCCTGCCTGCTGGGGGTGGGAAGGCTGGGGTAGGGTGGGGGCTGGCTATTCAATACAGAGACACAGGATAAACCCAACCTAGAGATTTAGTGGCCGATAACACAATGACAAGACTGCTGAGGGGAACACTGGGGATGCTGGAGAATGCCTGGGTGTCAGGGCAGCCTTCCGGAAGAGGAAACTTAGAGCTTGGGGCTGTGGTTGAGCAGCAGGAGGGATGCACAGGTCTGGGACCCAGGGGAGAGGGGTCTCCGGGACCTGGTATGGAAACTCGGATGGGGCAGGGGAGCTCTGAGAGGAGACGGAGGGGTGGCTGGAGGGACAGGGCAAGACATGACAAGAAAGGGAAGAAGCTAGGGCAGGCCAAGGTGAGGGGAGGTGGTTTGCTGAGGGACTCAGAGATTCGCGGGACAAGGACGGGAGGGCTGAGGTGCTGGGTCATGAAGAGACAACAGGGTAGGAAGATGGTGTGACCACAAGGCAGCTGCACATGAGCGTGGCCCGGCAGATGCCACACATGGGGGATGCGCACACACACCTGTCTACACCTATGGGGACAGAGACAGCAACACAAGGCAAGGAGAGGAAGAACAAATGAGGATGCAGGGAGATGGAGACGCACAAGAACCACCGTCTCCTTTCCCCCCATGCTGCTCCTTGGTCCTCTCTTCCTCAACCTTTTCTTGATTTTTCTACTCTTCCTGCAAGGCAATTCCCTCCTGACTGGCTCTGGACACCCAGCTTCTGGGCAGGAGGTGAGGGCGGTGGTGGGCCCTGCTACAGCCCCTTACCTCTTTGGGCTGCGGTTTCCCAGCCTGCTGCTGGGTGAGGAGCTGCAGGTGGAGCTGCTCCTGCTGCTTCTTGTAGTACTCCTGCAGCTGGGGGTGGGGGAGGATTACCACTGGCAGGGACTGCTGTCCCCACAACAACCCCAGCCCTGTCCCATCTGGGCTCCTGGGGGCAGGAGAGGGAAGTTTCCCCTAAAACATGGCCTGGCTCTCCCTAGTCTGCCTGGAGGGGCCCTGAGCAGGGCTGGGCTAGGGAGGAAGGAGGTAACGGATGGGTGGGGTGGGGGGGGGCAGTGTTCATTCCCACAGCTCTGAACCCTCCCAGCTTTTGGTGGATCTCCTGAACAGGTCACAGGGGACAAGGGGCCAGACGTTCCAGTACTTTGCCCTTCCCTGCAGTTCAGGAGATAGAAGTAGGGCCAGCATGCAGGGAGGGAGGATGGGGGAGTATTGTGGGGGTGGGGCTGCCAGGAGAGATGCCTGACCTTTGACCTCTCCCCACTACCCTAGAGGAATGCAGATCAGTCGAGCCTGAGCAGTCCCTCTGGTTTCTGGGACAGCCTGGGCCCTCCGAGAGGTGTAAACAGGGTGAGAGGAGCCAGGCCAGGCAGAGGAAGAGCAGCTGCCCTGGGGCCAGACTCACCTGCTGGAGCATGAGGGCTTGCTGCTGCTGGAGCAAGGCCTGCAACTGCGGGGGTGACAGGATCTGCTGCATCTGTTGCGGGGTAAGCATCTGCGGCGACATCATGGCCACTGACACGGGCACCTGCGGGATTTGGCCTGTTAGCCCCATCCCCTCGACCCCGCCCCAGGAGGCACCACCCAGGGCCCCACTCACAGCATGGCAGAGTAGCTCCCAGGGAAGCTGCCTGGGTTCCAGTCCTGGCTCTGCTGTCTGCTGGCTGTCTCTCTGGACAGTGACTTACCTCCCTGTTGTCTGTTTTCCTTATCTCTAAAGTGAAAACAGTGATAGCACCTACTTATCAAGGTTACCATAAGGACTAATCAGTGAATACTTAAGACAAGGCCTGGCACACAGCAAGCGTATGTAAGGGTTGGCTATTATCATAGGACGTGCTGTCCTCAGAGCAGGAAGATTAGGCCCTAGTGACACTGGTCAGTAGAACCCATGCTTTGGCTGATTCTCCCCAGGAATGGGGAGGGGCAGCACACCAGGCCGCTCCTAGTCTCACGCAGTCTATTTTGAGACCACTTCCTGCAAGGAGGGCCTGGCTGGGAGGGCAGCCTACAGCATGCGAAGGATTCAAAACGTGGCCCACCTGGCATGAGGACCTGCCCTTTGTCCCCTCTCACACAGACCTCACACACCCTGACACACCGGCCTGGAAGGCACACATAGTGACCAGAGCTGAAGCCCACAGAGTAGTCCTGGAGTCACTGATCCTGGTGTGTGTGCATGTGCGGAGCTATGTCTAGCATGGGGTGGAAAGAACAGCAGGGAGGGAGTTAGCAGGGGCAGGCTTCGGCTCCCAGCTCTGCACTGAACTTGCTGTGTGACTCTAGCAAGCCACTTGTTCTCTCTTACGTTTCAGTTTGCTCAAACATAAAACATCAGTGACTGGGCTGTAAGAGATAATTCCTTCTAGGCTGGAACGTTCAGGATTCTCAAAGTAGAACAGCTTTCTGCCCCCTGCCCTGGCTCAGGCCTTTTATAGAAGGTCCAAAGAATCCAGCGACAGGGAAAAGATTCAGAGAAAAGCAATGACATCGTTCTCTTCCCAGCCCCACCTCCCCTGAAACCCCCAGGCTGTGCCGTCATGGCCAGGCAGGTCTAGGCGGCTATGTTGTCTTGCTCCTGTGTTAGCAGGACAGGTGCCCTGATGGGGCTGTCTGCCGCCCCTCCACTCTGGGACCCCATGCATACAGGACTCCTCTAATCTCCTCTCTCACTCCTAAGGTCTGGTAGAGTCCCTGACACACAGTGGGTACTCACTGTTTGCCCTCCTGAGCTGAAATGCCTTTCCCAGCTCCTCAGAGGTCCCTTTGCCAGAGCCCTGGGGCAGGAAGGGAAGGGTACAGGGCTCGCCCAGCCAGGGAGAAGTGCTGTGCAGGGACTTGTCCTAGGCTGTGACAGGTTAGGTCCTCAGGGGACCCTCCCCCAAGCCTCTGCCCCACCTGTGGGGCAGAGGAGGAGGAGGTGGTTCTCTTTTCAATCCCTGGCAGGCGCGGGACTCAGCCTTGAACCGCCCCTTAAGCCATGGATTAGGAAATCCCCAGGCAGAGAAGCAACCAGGGAGGTACAGTGACTCCAAGGACGTCGGGGAATCCCACTGCTCCCAACACCCACACTCACCCCACCGCTAGCAGCTGCCCCCGCCCTGGGCTTTACTCCTTTATCCCAGCCCATCTCTATCCACACGTCCCAGGACAGGTAACACCAAGCTCTTTAGTCATAGATACACCATGTGAATGACGGCTCCAAGGGACCTCTAAGCCAGTGGGGGATGTGCCCATAGGAGTGGTTTTTGTTTCTTTTTTTTTTTTTTAACCTCATTTTTAACCAATGAGGAGATCAGAAAAGTCTGGCAGCCTTAAGTGGCAGGGTTGAGATTCAAGCCCAGGTCTGCATACTTCAATGGCTCCCAGGGTGTTCACATCCTATACTGGCTGCCCCGCCCCAGGGCAGGTCTTGAGAAGGGTTAGGGAGAGCACGTGGAGGTGGGACCTCCGGAGGCTGAGGGGGCTGATGAGGCTGAGATCCCAAAGGCTAACTTCCTGCTTTACAGTGGTATCATCCCAGAAGGACTCTCTGGAAAGCCAGGCTGCAGGCGTGGATGAAGGGGCCTGGGGTTGGAGGCAGACAATGGTACAGACCCAACTCTAGAGCCAGCCCCTAAGTCTGTTCTTGGATGTTCCAGAGGCAGCTGGGGAGGCTGCTCAAAGAAGGTGGGTTTTGGCATCCAAAGACATGGAACAAGTACCATGGACTGTCCTTTCTTTCCTCCTCCCAGGCAGGGGTTGGGGGGGTTTGCCCAAGAAAGAGAGGCATCCTGGTGGGGGTGAACTCAAAGCCCTAGATTTCTGGATCACGTGACCTTGGTTTTTGTCCCTGATATTTACTAGGCTTGAAATCCCAAGCCTCACTTTCCCTGTCAGCTAACTGGGATTTGGGGCACCTGCCCTCCTCACATCATTAGAGGATGTTGCTGACTGCTTATTACGTGCCAGGCACAGCACTTGGCTAAGCCCTTTATACGTTTATCTCATGGAATCTTCACGGCAACCACGTGAGGATGGTACCATCATCATTACCATCTCACAGATGAGATGGGGAAACTGAGGACCAGAGAGGTTCAATAACCCGTCTCAATCCTGATCCTGAAGGGACAGTGGGAGTAGGGGTGAAAGGGACTTGCACGCCATTAAATTCTATATAAATGTAAAGAAAATAACTTTTTAAAACATTCTGGAGTTTTCCTTTCCCTTCTTTCTGTCTCTCTGCCCCTGGTGGGCCTTAAGCGTGCTGCTAGACAAAAGTCACTGAGGACCAAGGCACTAGGCCACTCAGTCTCACTGCTGCGAGAGCTCAACTAGACACGGCCTGCAACAGGAGGGACTGAGACCAGACACTCCAAAGATCTTCGCAGGCACCAGGACTGCGAGTTACTGACAGGGGAATTTGAAAAAAGGATGTGGCCTTTCCTTCCTTGGGCCTTTCTTCCTTGGAAGCGGGGGAATGGAAGAGATGACCTTGGAAGGCCTTCTTGGCACTTGCTGCTCCTGCCACTTGGCTGAGCAGCGGCCTGTGGAGGCTGCTACAGAGATCTGGAGAGATTATACGGCGTGCACTCCTCTCGAGGTGGCCCAGTGAGGTCACCAAGGGTCGGGGAAGTGGCTGCCGCATGCTGATCTCCCGAGCTAGTTGACCTCATCCATCTCTCCCCATGCCCCTTGGAGGTCTGAAAACTGAAATGAGCTCCTCTGGTGTCCCTGCTGGCCCTTCGCCAGGCTCAGGTGCCTCAGGATGGGTGTTCTGCAGCTAGCAGGCTCAGCAGGGTCCAAGAGTCACCATCTGGAGAGGGGCAGCTAAGTGCTTACTGAAGCCCTGGCAGGGTGAGCCCTGGGCTAAACGCCGGCAGCTGCCTCCAGCCCCTCCCTCAGGGACCTGGCACCCACCATGAATACAGTGTGCTCCGCTGGATGGCCTGATTGAAAGGAACAGGGACTGTGCCTGACATACAGGAAGCTTATTTGAGGACTGAGGGTGGGAATGAATGCAATTTGGTGCCAGGGTCAAGGACCCAAATTCAGTCTTAAGTATGAAGTCCCTGTGAGTTGGGGACAATGTGGGGAGATCAGGCCAGAGCTTGGTTTGGCTTAAACTCTCTTGCAAATGACCAAAAGGAAGTCCTCAAACTAATTCTGGGCTGGAGCTGCAGCAAGGAAAGACAGCAGTGAGCTATAACGAAGAACTTCTGGAAACGCCAGATGGGGATGGACGAAGCCAAGGCCCCAGTCACCTCTGCCTCCACCATGCCCCCAACTCCCAGCCACCTGTGTGGCCTTCTATGATGGGCCTCTCCCTGGTGGGGCCCAGGCCTGGAAGGAAGGCTCCTCACTAGGCTGGAGCTAGAGATCTGATACGGTTTTGGAAACTCTTCTGAAGCTGGTTTTGGAGGAGAGGGGTGGTGAATGTGTCTGGGAGGTGCGTGGGCAGAAAATCCTGCTGGGGAGCAGAGCAGCATTCTGCGGGGACCCCTGGGAAAGGAGCTGCCCTTGATCTCCCTTCATTATCCACTGCACTCAGGCTCAAGATGCACTCCTCTGCTCGGGTGAGGAGCCCAGCCCTTGGTCTTCCCAGACCCTTACCAGTCTTGAGCTCACAGAAGAGCATTTCGAGGCCCTGGGCCCTACTTCCGGACCAGGATCCCACTTCTTTGCAGATAATAAACTTAGGAATAGGGGCAGAAGGCAAGGAAGGTACCCAGGATTGAAGGAGAAATAGAGGGATCAATATTAGTTGGGGAATCCAGGCTTCTGGGGAGGCATAGCTCCATGGCCTCAAGAACCCCCAACTCCCCCAGACCCTGAGAACCATCTGGCTCAGGCTTCTGCACCTGGGAAATATTGGCATTATTACTGTGCCAAGCACAAGGGATCGTCACAATTAAAAGTGTGAATTCTGGAGCTACTGGGTTCAAATCCTCCCTCTGTCCTCTATTTGTTGTATACTTCGGATAAGTTTCTTAACTTCTCTGGACCTCAGTTTCCTCATCTGCAAGATGGGACTAGAATAGTACCTCTCCCATAGGACTGTGAGGCTAAATGAGATATCTTTAAAGTGCTTAGTGTCTACTTCATGGTAAGCACTCTGTAAATGTCAGTTGTTTAGTTTGGGATGTACACAGTAAGTATTTGTGGAACGAATAAATGAATGAATGAATCAATTTTGGGAAGGTAATGAGACAAGGAGAGAGACGGCCTGAGAAAAAGGTCATTTTATCTGTCTTTCTGACCCTGAACGAGACCTCTAGGCCTCTCTCATTTTGGAGGGCGTTTCCTAACGAAGATTCCATATTCTCACTTCCTCTCTCAATTATTTCAGATCTGTGACCCTTAATCCTCAGCTGAGAGGTCCTTCTCGATGTCTGACCCCAGTCCCTTCCACGATCATCAAGCTTCCGCCCTCCTGCCCTGCACCAGCAGGCCCTTTCTGGTTTGGGGGAACGTTTGCTGTTGCCTATCCTACTCCTTCCTGTTCTAAGCTGGGCCCAGGGTGGGGATGATTCAGAGTGGAAGCCTGAGGACCACTTCAGACCCTGGAAGTGTACGTGGGAGTCATTAATTTAAAGAGAACCAATTCTGACCGGTATGGGTATGAGAACCTTTTCAGTCGTCCAGATGAGATCATTCTCTTCCTCCCTTTATTGACTTTCCAGATTGTGGCTTCCCCTCCTCCACCCCAGGCCATGCCCCCCTTTGCCCAGCTCCTCCCTTAGAGGGTTGTCTCCTTAGGGTCCAAATCTTTAAAAGAGGGTTACTGCTAAGGCTGCACATCTGTCGGGCACCTTGAACTTTTTCCAAACATAGACTTGTTTTATATAAAACCAAGACTTTGTCAGAGCACTGGAATCTCCACCCAGGACAAAGCCTGGTCCTGGGTCCTTCTCCAAGCACCCTGCACCCACCCCATGCCCCTCCTTACTTCCCTCAGCACCCAGCCCCAGACTCCAGAGCACCTCCGGCTCAGGACCAACCATGCTCACCCTTCCTCCTTTAGATAAACTTTCCTTTCAAAGCCTGGCTTAATCCTTTCCCCAATTCTGAGCCTCCTTCTGCTGGGGGAGGGGTGGGGGGGTAGCAGGGCTGCTGGGCTGCTGGGCAGAGGGGGAGGGGAGCGGCTGCCCGAGTAGTGACCCCACCCGGACTCAGACTGCAATTCTCCCAAGTTCTTTGTGACACAAAAGGTAAACAGAAGGCCTGGCTCCCCCACCCCCCTGCTCACCCCCCACAGATCTCTCCTCCCCCAGCCAGCCAGATGGGCTGGCAAGCTGGGGGGAAGGGAGAAGGGGAAAAAAGGGCAGATTGTGCAAAGGAAAACAAAAGAGACAGAGAGACATCAAGAGACAGGAAGCACGGAGAGACTGCGAAAGAGTTGGTGGGTGAGGGAAACCGGTGGGGAGGACAAGGGAAGGGAGAGACTTGGTGACGTGACAGCCGGCAACAGAGATCCCCTGGGAGGGGCTGAGACCCAGAGAAGGGAACAGAGAGGGACACAGGGAGTGACCTACAGGGACACAGAAACAGAAACACGAGAAGTGACCGAGAGAGACCCTGAGGGGAAGAGGTAGGGGAGGGGAAACAGTCAGAGGTGCAAGCAGACAGGGAGAGCTGCAGACAAACTTTTGAGACAGGGACGAAGAGGCCAAGCTGGCGGAAGGTCTGGCTGAGCAGGTGGAGATGAGAGAAAGTGGAAGTCTTTTTGCCCCACCCCTGCAGTGACTGTATTTCCTTTGAAAACTTGCCCACGTTTTGGCATTGGGCCTGGCAAGAGCAGTTCGCCAACGCGTCCTTGCCCTCCCTCTGCAACAGGCCCACTCTCCAGCCCAGCCCAGAGCCAGCAGGGTGCTCTCCTCCTCACCTGCACAGCAGAGGCAGACTGTTTGCTCTCATTGTTCCCTGGGGAGCTCAGGCCTGAGGCCTGCTGCAGCAGGAACTGCCGGGCCACCTGAAGAGCCTGCAAGACAGGGGCTGAGTCAGCAATGGCCTGGGAGGCTGGGTGGGATCCAGGGATTAGGGCATGTTTGGGGCAGTAAGAAGGAGCTCAGCGTAAGGTGGAAGGTCACGGGGGTGAGAGGGTTACCGGTCCGTAAGTGCTTGGGGAAAGGGCAGTAGGAGTCACTGAGAAGAGCAGTCAGAGTTCGGAATCAGAGCCTCTAAGGACTCATCCTGGAACCCAGTGAAGTTTTGTTAGGACTCAATAGGGGCAGCAAATGAAAGGGCCCAATAGTCAAAAAAGGGCTCTAGAGGAAAGTAAACGGGGTGGACTCAGGGCATTAATAAATCAGTACTGTTTGTTGAGCATCTACTATGGGTCAGGCACTGTATAGGCAAGAGATTATTTAATCTTCCTCTGTAAGGCTGTGAGGTAGGGATTACTGCCCCATTTTGCAGATGAGGAAACAGAGTCTCCAGAAGGTTAAGTAATTTACCCAAGACCATACAGCTAGGAGATATCAGAGCCAGGATTTGAGTCCAGGAAGCCTGGCTCCAAGGCCAACTGCCTTACCGGGTAGTCAGTTTGTGAGGGGGTGGGGGTGGGGGTGGGGGTGGGGGCTGAAAAAGTAGGATTCACTGTGGAGCCAGAGCACACAGTTGGGAGGATGAAGGAAGAGCCCTTCGTCTCTTGTGTCAGTGGCACAAGGTCTGAGTACCATGTGACTTTCTGAGTTCAAGGATTGTACATGCATGGTGCTGAAGGAATTAGATCAAGTTCTGAAAGGTGAACTATCAGCAGAGATACATGGATCATGGTCGTCTGGACTTGGTGGCCACAGTGGCTTAGACTGAACTGAGCCAGAGGGGTCAGGAGTAGGAGGCATATAGAGACTGCTAGAGGAATGGCTTTAGTGGGTCAGTGTGACACTCAAGGAGTAGGAGTGGCCTGGGCGGTAAACTGATGGGCAGTGAGACGTCTGGTAGGAGTGAGGGGTCAGGAGGGCCCAGGAAATTATCTGTGAGGCCAGCCAAGCACTCTGTGCCCTCTCTGTGGGTCAGTAGAAGGTCTGAAGGTAAGTTCTGAACCCACATTTCAGGAGCGCAAAACTTAATCTGCCTCCAGACTGCTCAAGACCCCCTTGGGAGCCAGTGCAGTTGCGTCCAAGCCCTTGACACAGGGCTCCAATCTTAGGCAGCCCTGGGTTTGAATCCCAGCTGGGCGGCCTGCCGGCCACGACCTTGGGCAAGTTATTCCAGTTCTTTGCACTTCAGTCTCCTTATCTGCAAAACTGGGAAACTACTCATCTCAAAATTACTAGGGGGATTAAAGGACCAATGTTTGGCATCCAGTTGGCATTTGGGAAGTGTTCACTCCCTTCAACTCTCATTAATCTCTCAGCAATTCTCCATTTCACCTCCTCCAGCCTCTCCCCAACATAGCCTTGTGCCCTGCGCACTTATTAGACGAAATGAGCCCGCTTGTGGCTCACTCTCACATCTGTTCACACACACACTTGTTTTCTCCATATGGGCTCCTATTCTCCAACCCCACCACAAGCACCTTCAAGGAAAAACCTTTTAAGGTGAGATATGGCTGCACTACCCATTGCTCAACAAGGGAAGAGAGTGACCACTGTGTACCAAGCATATACACACATCCACCGTCACGTCTGTTCATCACCGGAGCAAACAGCCAAGCCTCCCGAGGCTTTACATCTAGTTTACCTGACGATGGTATCTAAATGCGCACCGGCTTATTGACGGGAATGTGTCCTGCAGCAAACCTGGAGCTCAGATTGGTGTGCTCCTCATCGGCCACCCCCACCCCACCTCCTTCCCTGGGCCTCACACCCAGAGAAGTGCCCTGGGCTTCCAGAGGGAGGCAGGATGTTTCTCCTCTTTCAGATTCACTTTGGAAAGCAGATCTGACATTTTAAGTAAAAAGACTCTGTGGAGAGAGGAGTAAGGAACGGGGATGGGTGAGGAAAGGCAGGGAATCAGGTGGTCATCAGGAAGGAGCCCCTGCCTCTACTACCTTGCTTTTACAAATCCCTCCAGGTCTACTGACAAGTGCTCTTTGTCCTTCAAAGGTGGAGGTAGGTTAGGGTGGAGGGGCTACAGGGATCAGAGGCCAGGGCGCAAGGGTTGGGGAAGAAGATGGCTCAGAGAGGCTGGCCAGCCCAGGCAACCCAAAAGGGACACTGGTTGGGGTGGGGAGATGAAGCACTCCAGATCCCTGGGGAGGAGGAGGGAGCAGCAGGGGAGGGGCTTCTGGGGGAAGCTGGGGGCAGAGCCCAGCTCAGTCTCTTGAGGTGGGGTGGGGAAATGGCCAGAGGAGTTGAATTCACTCCCTACTGACTCTCTTACTTTGTGGTCTCCTGGAGCATGAAATTACACGATTTACAGGAAAAAAAATGACAAGGCCTTGCAATCTCATTCTTGAGACCTCCCTCCGTGTGAGAGGCCCTTCTCACCCTCCACCCCCACCCCACAACCCCTTTCCTTCTTCCTGCCCAGGCCGGTGCCCTCCCCTTTAGGCCAGATGAGAGCCAGGTAAGACCTTAGGTCTGGCCAAGGCTCCCCTCCCCCACCTTCCCACCATTCCTGCTCATATGAAGGTCCTCACTCACCCACTCCTCTCACATCTATGAAGTACCTGCTGTGTGCCAGGGACCAGGCTAGATGCTGGGAATACAGAGAAACAGAACATGGCCTCTGCCCCCAGGGCTCACAGCTCAGGTTCTGTGATGATAGCCTCTTATAAGGAATGATAAGGAACTAGTCAGCCAGAATTGAGGGTGGGTGCCAGGGCTCAGAGAAGGCCTTCTACCTGGGGAAGTCTGAGAGGACTTCCCAGAGGAGGTGGCAACACTTACTAGAGTCTCGCCATCTGAAGGGAGAGTTCACATGGTAAATGTGGAGGGTCACATCTACCACTACCATGCTGCTGCATCAGATGTGTTCACACTGCCTCCTGGCATCGGGGCCTGGAGATCACTGGACCGCCTACCTCCAAGAGATGTGGGAAATAATGGGTCCTAACTCTGGCAGATCCAGCCTCAGTTTCTTTGATGATGCCAACCAGACTAGGGCCTCCTTGAAAGCATAGATGTTGTCAAATGTAGCTGTGAACCCCCACTGCCACCCACCAGTATACAGCAGCCACACGATACCCACTCACAAAACTCATTTTAGTCTAGGCTGAATACTAAGCTTAGCAGCTAACATATGCCTTGCAGTTTTCAAAGCACTTTTTCAAACATTTAATTGAAGCTTCACAACATTGAGCTAGGTGGAGCAGGTATTGATGTCCCTATTTTACAGACGAGAAAACTGAGGCCCTAGGTTCCACAGCCAGGAAGTGGGAGAGCAGGGCTTACCCCACTAAGGGGTCTCCACGATCCCGTGCGGAGTGCAGCAAGACCTTCAAATCTGCCTCTCCCCTCATCTGCATGTGTTCAGCCCCGCAGTGAGAAAGGGAAGTGAAGATGGAGGAAGAGGAGGAAGACCAAGAAAGGAAACTCCAGGGGAAAGGTAGGCTCAGTTTCCCTTCCCTAGAAACAAGAGATAACCAAACACAGCCCTGGGTGAGTAAGATGTTCAGATACCCACTCCAGGCAGAAGCCATTATGGAAAACTAAGGGGAGGAAGGAAGGTGGGGGGCGGGGGGCCTAAGCAGAATGGGAAGCAGGGAGCCATTTGGCCTCTCAAACCTTATTTTTTTCCCTCCTTCTACCCCTTGGACTGAAAACCAAATGTCCAGCTCTGTGGTTTGGGGATGACGTCCAGTTTTCCTCTGAGGGAGGTGTACTGTCCATTCATGCATGGACCTCAAGAGAGATCTGGATCCAAGTCCTGGCTCCACCATATACTGGGTAACCTGGGGCAAGTCAACATCTCTCTGAGCCTCTGTTTCTTCCTCTGCAAAACTGCAACACAACCCCATACTTTCTTCATGGGGTTCCTGGGCAAAGCACCTGGGACTATGCACATGGAGTACTCGGCACACTGCCAGGTACCCAGTAGGTCCTGGACGAACACTATTACTATGATTAATCTTTCACCAGCAGCTCCTGGTCATTTGCCTGGTGCCACCCAGAAGGCCTTGCTAACCAAACCCTCTTTCAGCCCAGCCCCCATTTCCCCTCAAGCTTAAGAACTCAGTCTCCGTAATGAAGCTGAACTCTCCTCCCCCATCCCCCATTCAGAAGTCATTAGCAGGATCTCCGCAATTAGGAACAAATGGCTTATAACGGATGGCATCCAGGGAGGGCTGTTGGGATGGAGGAGAATGAAGCTGTAGCTTTGAGGGCAACAGGGAGCTGCTATGAATAGAAAAACAAGTCTTGGTGCTGTGGGGTCTCTCTCTCCCCTCCAGGATGGGATCACACTCCTATTTCTGGTTCTGGGAATTTGGGGTCGGTGGGAGGGGTGGGAGAGGGGTCATTCTCTCCAGGAAGCCAGGTGCAGGGCTGTTTACCAGCCCTTTCAGCAAGCTGGAGAGTCCCAGATCTGTTTTGGGGTGCCTGCCTTATTCTCTGTGTGTGCGGGAGGGTGGGGACGTGATAAGCAGGGGGATGAGCTTGAAGGGCTGCTGAGAATGAGAAGTCAAAGAGCATGGGCCACAGCCCTGGAGAGCTCCAAGTGTTAGAGGGTATCGAGTCCAGCATCTCTCAAATTGCTGCTCGTGGCCCAGTAGTGGGTCATAATATCAATTTAGTGGGTAAAAAATAGGAATTTTCTAGTTCACTGATAAATGAAGAAATAGAGATCCAGAGATGGGCAATGATTTGCCCAATGGGACACAGTGGCAAAAGCAGAACCTGAATGCACCAGACCTGAAACTGGGCTCTGCACAGGGAAGAGAAACCGAGCGCTGGCCCGCGGGATGGAGGAGGTACTAGCACATTCTGGTTTAATTTAGATTGTGGTGAGGGGCAGCCAAAAGAAACAAACTCCAAACTTCCTTTGTCTGCCTCTAGCTGGTTTTGGCAAAACTGGGATTCAGTCTTATCTAAA